AGATGTAAATGTATGGTTTATTAAGCCATTTACAAGTAAATAATTATTCCAATAAATACTAATTAACTGTTTAGAAGTGTGTAATATCCGGTACGAACAGTTTTTTTTACCTACCGTTGAGTTTTAACATTGAATAATAAAATTAAAGTTAAAAATAAATCGACAGATGTCTTACACGTAGTACAGAATAATAACTTAGTTAATTATATTATATTTCTAAGTTTTAACAAATTATAATAACCTGTGTAGTAATGTAACTTTAAGTAAGAAGTACTATTGGGCATACAACCAGATGGGTCCATATTAAATGTACGTAATCTACCAATCGTTTATTCGCTAGTTATGTTAAATATACATAGGTACATAACGCCTGCCTCCCATTTTTTTTTTTTTAAGTGGAGAAAATCATCGAGTGACTGCTCCCGCCTAGGTGTCTGTCTCCCATGTTGCCTCTCTCCCATGTCTCCCATGTGTCCCATGCCTGTCTCCCATGGGGGTAGGCAGAGACTATGGAACGCCAATTGCTAAGATACTTAGGTACTTACATACCTCTTTCACTTCCTCAACAGTCATCAATCTTTTCATGCATGCTAGTCGGTTAAGGGAACTTTAGTTCACTTCAGTTTTTGTGAATGATACAGGATATAAAATTATTTAATTTAAACTGACATTTCCCATTTACTTCTCCCTTTTAAAGAATCAAATAGTTATCTAAGTGCCAATTAATTGAAGGCAACAATATTTGCTTCTTTGATTTAAATACAAAAAGGTATGCAACTGTCTTTGACGTGGCTGTAGTATAATATATTATAATAAAATAAATTGTGATTTTGATGTACAGATAAAATTTTTAATTGTGTGATATTGGTGACAAAACTGATACAGTGATATCGTTAAAAATATCTACGATTAAGTAAAAAGTAACTAATCAAATAAATTAGTTATTATACATTTTTGAAATCATACAAAAGAATTCATTCATAAATTTAATATTTAATCAAAAGTAAGATTAATCATAAAAATGTAACTATAAATACGACATAAATTGTCGATCATAAACAAGTCAAAGTTATGGAACATCTAGCAGATGTCGCGTCACATGGCATCTATAAATTTTAGTTGTCGCATTCAAAATGTCTGCCTCGAAATTGTTTTAATATTATATCCATAACTGATAGGTTTCGTGTCTGGAATGTACGACATATGAATGAGTAATTAAATGTTTAATACTTACTTGGAAATACTAAATTCATTCCTAAAAAAATGTGTTGTAAAGGTATTACTTGAATTTAGAATTTATTTGCGGTTGTAGTTTTATAAAAAAAAAAATATTTACAAGTTTATTTACAAAAGTTTCTACTACACATTTATTTTTTTTCTGCAAAAGTCATGTAAGTACATTAAATAATTACACTATAAAAAATTTATAATTATTTCATAATGTTTATAGGTATTTATTATATATTACCTATTATATTAAGGATAAATTGAATGTGATTCACAAATAGAGAGGTAATATAATTTAAAATACTCCTTTGAGGTCTTTTGTAATCTTTAAAGAGTATATAAACGTTTCATAGAAAGAGAGGATAGGTTATATTTTGGACGATAATAACAGAGTATGTCGTCTACTTTAAAATACTTACTAGCTGTGCCTACGATTTTGTCCGCGAGGAATAGTGATTCACAGCTTCTCCCCAGTAGGTGATAGGGCAATAACACATACTTAGGTATTAGTAATATTCTAGCAAAATGATACTTTTTGAGTTTAGCCCGGACATACTGCATAAGTAAGTACTGACTTACATACAGACAAACAGACAAGAATTCTAAAAAACTATATTTTTGGCTTCGCTACCGATTGTAGAACACGCCCAAAGTATTCTGTAAAATAATATTTAATGTACAGTTTTGACCTTCCTTCTATATTATTATATACCTATATGTACCTATAGATAATTTTTACTGTATAGGTAAGGCCTACAAATTATTGTGTAACTTGTACACAAGTTGATGATAAATAAGCAAATGTATGTAATATTCTTTATACTATAAGATATTTAAGTAAAGTGCGTAATATATTTCTTTAAATAGATATATTTTTATATGATTGTTTCAAAGGAACTCTTACAGTTCTACATGTTTAAATAATCCTATGCAATGAGATTATAACAAATACTTATTCTTAAGAAGCAAATGATTACCTGTGGAGCTCCGTCTTGAGTTAATATCTATGCTATTACAGACATGCAGATAAAAGTAATGTTAAAAAAAAAATAAAGAAAAACTCGATTATTTAAAAGACAGGTCTACTTAAACAATATAGGTAAATCAACCAGAAAATTTAAGTAACAACTCAGATTTAATAAAATAATCAAGGTAAATAATTCCATCAATCAAAAAATTATGACATCCAATAAAATCGAAATAGAACCATGAAAACATAATAAAAACGAAATTCGAATTAACAATGGAACTTAAAACAAAGAAAATATAATTTTTCCTTCAAAATATCTGCTTAGCATACTATAAATTAATTAGAACACGGCTTCGTCTTCAATCAATTATTAATCAAAGTCAATAATAATTGCGAACGAATAATAATAAAGTTTTATTATTTTACTTCTATTGTTTTCTTATTTGTGACAGTTAATTCTCAGACATAATAATAATTAGACAGGCAATGAGCGTGATAGCCGGTGTAGGATTAATAATTATTTTGCAACTTGTGTAATAACTATTATATTTCTTATTTGTAATTCAATATAAGAGATTATGGACATAATGTTCACAGGCTTGTAATAATGACAATTTTTAAAGAGTACTTGAACCTCAAGTTGTCATAGTAACTCTGTTTTATTCTGCAATTTTATAACTTAGGTAATACCAAAAATTTATAGGTGGAATTTTTAGTGTACCAAACATTATATTTATTTAAATTTCAGTTGATGTAATTTGATTATCAGTATATTAAAATATTATATTGGATGTACGATTGCATTTTTTTTACTTATACAATATTAAATAAGTACAGTTTGCGCCTCAAAAGACCAAGTTAGTTATCAAGTAATTATATTTTTGAAGCACAACAATGGCTTAGAATATTAAAGAATTTACAATCGGCTTGTTTAAAAATATTGCCCGCATATATTCCTAATAATATAAGTTTTAAGTCTAGACCAGTATACATTTATTTAAGATATTATTTTGTACCTCACTATTAGGTACTATTATCTAGGTACCTACTTACTTACCTAATGCTTGATTTCAACTCTCTGAAATATTGGAAATAAATATTCCTAACAATTTTTCTGTTGTTAGAGGCGTCCAACAGAAAAAAAAATATAATTATATATACTTATTGGGGTAACTAAAGTATAGATTTCCAATTAAGTTATGTTATTCCTCTAAATTATATATTTTTATAAGACTTAGGTACGCCAGTGTGTAAATATTTAGAAAATAAATAACGGCGCCACCAACAACAGCGTTGTGTGTCTATTTTTAATTATTTATAATTATCCTACTTATTATATTAATTTAACAACTCTATCAAATATATTCTATGGATACTGTAAATACCCGCATTATGAGCAATTAATAGAAAGTTTAATGAAATTTATAAATTAACCCTTACAAGTTCCGACCTCATCCGTAAATGTATTTATTATGTTTTTAATTAATTTTTTATTTATTACAAATATTAATCCATTGTTACTATTTTTTATTTTAATAGTATTAAGTTTTATTGTGGTTATTTATTTTTATTCATTAAAATTGTAACAATTTGTCTTTCTTTGATAAATACAGATATAGGTGTATCATTCGATTCCAAACAAACATTGTTCTAGGCATATTGCGTTTTCCAAAACGTCTTTATGTACACAATGTTTATGATGCGGCGTCCTGCTCTAACGCCCCGCCCCTGCCCCGCACGCCTGCCCCCTCCCCTCCGCTCCCAGCATAGACGCGTTGCAGACGCTTGGGGCGCGCGCCACTCGACTATTTAAAATGACGACTGTGTGCATTGCTTTACAAAAATAAAGATGGCGGACTGGGGAAAAGGACGCCACCAGTGGATGCAAAAATATTCGACGAACCTTTTCTGACTTGAGACCCATTACTGTTCTTTAAAAAGGGACTTGCTTCTGTCCTTTTAAGATGCAAAAGTAACTCGCAAGTTTTGGTAAAGTTATGTAACTTTTATTTGGGATGAATTGGATGAATACATATTTCTGGGACTCTGTTACAGATGTCACCTTCATCACTCAATAGTGTTTTTCAAAGTTTGTTTGTAAATAATTAATTACGCACAGGAATTTTATATTGACTACTGGATTACATATTTATGTAGTTAATTGATGATACAATTGTAACAGAAGCCGAAATTGGGAACCACATTTCAAATATGATTAAGGCGATGCATATATAATTTTTTCTCTTGGAATCTGATAATTTTTATTATTTCATTTCATCAACATTTATTTCTACTTATTAATGTAAAAAATTAAATCAGAAGGATTGCCAAGAAATCAAATGTCTACATACGCAAAATTAACTTTAACAAACTTTGATGTACTACTTTTCAGAAACTTAAAACTCTTCCCCCAACTATTTAACAGTTGTTTCATCTTGTCAACATAATGAAAAACAAAGTTATTCAGCGCATAAAGTGTTTATGTAACACTTTTCAGTATTTTCAACTAGTTTTTCCTTTGTTACAACACATTTTATCTGCAAACGCCCGGTACAGTACCGTCGCGGGCCGTCGCCGCATCCTCACTGAATTCAGCAGCCGTCACAAAGTTTTCAGTGCCCACCACACATTGTGAAACTTAACAGGACTACACTACACTAACTACTCAACATAAATAAACAATTTTAAAATATTTTTTTCTAAAGAAACAGTTTGAAATGCGTGAAAAATTGTTAAAAAGCGGAAAAGTGTATAAAGGATAGTGTTAGCATTTGTTTGCCAAGTATACGAAAAGTGTGCTCACCTTCGTTTTCCAATGAATATTCTTATTTGACAGACAATAAGAACACCGGTCCACCTGTCACAACGAGCACCTAAGCAAGCAATGCCACTCGAGACCCTCTCATATAACCATTGTTTTCTAAACTTCTATTTGTTTTCGAAATACGTGAAACGAATTCCTCAGCACATCAAACACTAAGTACGATGTCGTTGAACCTCTTTCCAATCCATCAATAGTAAACTTAAACAAATCAGCCGTATTTGAACAGATGGGCTGCGACGGTGTCGGTCGAGTAAATACGTTTACAATGCTTACTGGAATCGCACAGCGTGGGTCACTTCACTCAAACAACGGGCACTAAGTTAACAGGACACAATATTTGGCACAGCACGTGAACGTGTCATGGGATCGTTTGCGCGTGTATCGTGGCGTGTTTACGCGGGCGAGAGCGAGCGCGGGTGGCGATGCGGTTGCCTCGCGCGCCGCGGCCGGAATGACGCGCGGAGCGGCCGCCCGCCGACGACAGCGCCACGCGGCTCCTAGCAGAACTAGCGCACTCAATCAAACGTCCACCCGTGATAAGATGCAACTGCTTTTTTGCAACCCACTGCATTCTTATTGTGATTGATCTTGTAAATTAAAATGGCTGCTTATTATAGATACCACATCGGTTTTGAACTAACTTTTAATAAATTACCAACTGTTTTATTTTTAGATGAAACCATATGTACTTACTAAATTATCGTTTATAAAATGTGCAAAGTCAAGACTTTACCAGACTTCAAATAGTATTTTACTAATATTCCTCTATATAAAATATCTTTGAATATTATTAAGATTTAAAAAAAAAATATCATAAACAACTGCGTAAACTTTTATGTAAGAAATCTTTATTCATAAAATGGAAAAGAAAGTGAAAATTAGCTGAAAAAAGAATGCATGAGTGGGAAAAGTTGAAAAAATGTTGATGTCAAAACATTGCAAAAAGTCAGTGGGCCTGACGTGACCTTGCAGCGTGCAGGCGGGCGCGCGTGCACTGTCGCCGTCCCGCTCGCGGGGGGCGGGGACTAGGCTCCGCCCCCCGCCCCCCGCCCACCTCACCGCGCCGCCTTTTTACCTTTTTGCCCGCTGTTAACTCACTTTCGTTACGAGTTGTACCTACGTTACTTATGCTTCATTTTATTAAAATAATTATTAATATAATTTGACATTTTTCGTTCAATTATTTTCAATATTTTTTTTGAAATTATTTTTTGTGTTTGTATGTTTGCTGCTGTTGTGATTGATCAATCGTCATTCAAATTATGTCTAATGTTGTAATACAGTCGTATTACCCGCTGATAATTAATTTGTTTCATTTTTACAACATAAACATGGGTTGGCCACTAAACTATATTTTTTCTTTTAACAATATGTTAAGTAGGTACCTAAGTATTTAACTAAATTATATAACCTAATTTAAACAAATACTTACATTTTGTTACATTTTAATACGTTATTGAAAACTTGGACATTACCTTATAGTTTTAAATAGTTATAATTTTATTAATATTATACTTTTACCCTGTTTGTTGTATGTTTTGCTAACTGTCATGTGTTTAGATGTTTATCTTTTTTTAATAATGTATGACAGTGTTCTTTAGGAATTCATGTCAGTATTATACTATCATCTAAAAATTCATTTATAAAGTGAAATACTGTGTAATACAAAAAAAATATAAAAATAAATCTTAACCCTAAAACACCGACACTTTACAGAAACCTGTCTACTTAAAATTTACTGGCCATTTTGACCATCAAAAAACTTGAGAATGCTATCAAACAGCTATCAATACACCAAAACTTCATTAGATGCACATTCTAAGACAATAAAAAAAACTTTGCACATTCAGTCTCCTTTCCTAAAACACGTTACGCCATAAAAATCTCATATAACCATTATTCTCTCACATAACCTCACCGGCTACTTTTACATAACTCCAATCCACATAACTTACAACCATACACCTATAAGAATAAAGCACTAAATCGCAAAACACAAACACTTTTATAATAACCCAAAAAAGCGCGTAATTTTACGATCGGAATCGTAAAAAATCCGATTTTTTTCTGTTAATATAATTTTATTTGCATTTAAGTTCGCTTATTAAGCGGAGTTGTACTTATTTCTGCCTTTACAAACGATTTTGATGAAGTTTTGATACAGTTTGGCAATCAAGTGTGAACATTTTATTGATCCGATTTTGCCTTGATGGTGTTTCATGGTCCTTCGGGGCGCGGGAACAGGTACCTGTTGTTGTCCTCTTATACTTTGACCTCTAATCTTCAACTGTATCTCGAGCTTTAGTAGATCTTATCAGGTACTAACCTGCTTTCTTCGTCTTTTTGAGAATACGTAGAAACTGAGAATACTCTGCATGCATGACATTTCAATAAATATAATAACTATTGAAGTCTTTATAAATTCCTTGTATTAGTATTAATAATTTAAATCTTTATAGACTTGTTAATATTTTTTTTTCAATTAGATACGGTCTTGTTCTGTATACCAACTTCGAACGACTGCCTACTCTAACTGCAGTTGTCTTATGTCATATGTAAATCGATAACATGTTCACAATATTATTTATTGACTTTTCAAATGACATTACAACTGTCACAGTGTCGTAAAATACAAAAATTATGTCAACGTCTGAACTACGGTATTAACATTACATTCTTTATTTAGAACATAAATCAAATGATGCATAACAAAGAACAAGCGTTTGATTATTATTTTTAATATTTTATTCAATAGATAGTTATTTAAATTAGATTCTTGTATTTTATTATTTTAACAAATGCACAGTTCTTTACTGTTTTAGTATGAATATTGCAATAAAAGAGTTGTAAGTTATTTAGTTCTTTTGGTAAATCAAACTCAATTCGTTCCAACATAAAAATAAGTACACACCTAAGACTTACATATTTCAATCAAAACTCATAATATTTATCTTTGACACGCGCATTTAGGTTTCTTATAATATAATTCAATTTATATAATATAATTGAATTATTTATATAATCCAACGAAACCTATGCAGATTGCATAGGGAAAAAATGGAATCAACCACATAGTAAGTTTGATCTTCATCACATCGACCCCTCGCGTCAAGCCTCACAATAAACCATCATTTTTATCCGACCCCCATGGAGTAGCTCCACAACTAAATATACACACGATTATTATCATCATAAATTTTAATATGTTGCCAGTTAAAAAAATCGGATCTTACCATAACGTACAAAGTTTATGTTGATTCCTGACGCGTTGGCAACATTTGATTGCGACTTAATCGCCCGCCGTTTGAGGGTTAGAGGTTAATGAACTTGCATAATTCGTTTTTCAAATGGTTTTGTTTGTTGCGGATTCATTAAATTTGTTGCTTTTGACCTAACATTCAAAGTTTGGTCCTTTAATTAGTCGTGGTCCTTAGTTTTAACAATATTTGTTTGAATAAATATATGAATGATTTTCATATTACACCTCCTTAAATTTCTTCCCACCTGTCATTTGAATTTCAATTACAGATAAACATTACTTCGATAAGATATTCGAAGTATTGGCGTCTTATTTTCGCCAATAAATAAACACAACACCCACAAAACTAATAAAATATAAATAAAACCACGTAGGCTGTGTTTTATAACATCGTAAACTCACTTCCCTGGTTCAAATCTTAATGGTCACCCTAACACCTACACTTTCAACCAATTTAAAATGATCCAATAAAATATGTAAAAGTGCATAAAGCGCGTTGTAATCGATATAGTAATCTGACACCAGACGGACAAACAGACAAACAAGACTGGCCGTCAATCAAAGGCAATCAGTCAACGGTTTCATGACACGAACGCACTTCGACAAACCCCTTTACAACCTTCTAACTGCCTTCTTGCTCTTATTACAAGATCATAAGGACCAGATTCGTACAAAAGGACCAATTCCTAGGTGTACCATTGTAAGGTCTATATGTAATTTCGGATCATAAAATTGGTAATTTTCGCAGTCCGCCATGTCTGCGCTGTCATCACGCGGGATCCTTTATGGCGCTAAATTATACAGGTTGCGCTTGCGCACCGTTTTTCTTGCATTGAACCAGTTGCGCGCAAATTGGGTTAGGTTTCGCAGAGGTTGAAAACAATAATGAGTGTCAATCGGCTCCGGTTTCATTGGGATTTCAATGGTTTTACTCTTTTTCTTAAGGGTGCTTATTTGTCGGCAGATTTACGTGGTTTATTTTTTTGGTTACAGATTAAAAACTTTTTGGTTGAAATTAAATGAAAAAGTCTGAGGTTCAATTACATCACAATGGCTTTTACTGTTCGGAGTAAAAGATAACCATTTTAACGAAATTTTGATGCTTTACGTTTAAACATAATTTGGTAAATAAAGATTAATAAATAAACCTATCAAGGAATTAACCACAAATATCATTTCTGTGGTAACAACTATAATTTACAGCCCAAAACATTACAACAACAGTTCAAAACGATACCCCAACACAAAAAATCTCACATCCCTACAAAACAAGAAAAAAGCGTCAAGCTTCATTTACAAACGCCAAGTCAACCGCGTTTCCTCATTTATGATAAACAAATAAAACCATATTTCCAATGCAACAGTTACAGTACCTGTCGGACTGAACACTGAACTTCTCGCAAAGGAAGCCATGTCGGAAGGGTGAGCCGACCTGCATGCAACCCGGTTTTAATTACCCCTGCCTACCCCCTCCTCTCATAATAAATATGGTCTTCGCACGCACTCATAAGTATCTACATAGTAATAATATAATTGATGAATGTGCTCCAAAGGTTGCATAATGCATGTCTTTATCAGGAACTTGTTGACAATTTTTATTAGGCTTCATATTTGCATTGAATGATAAGTATTTATGGCTGCACTTGTTAGGTAAAACCTATTTTAATAATTGTAGGTGCTATTAAGTCAATTATGTATTCAATGATATTTTGTGCAGAGCTGCTATTTTTTATAAAGTAAATTTATAAGAATGATGTGTTGACACAACTGTAAAGAGTACCTACGGCGGATCTTACGACCACTTTTGCAATGATTCACAATCACTTAACTATTTCGATACAAGCGACAATTACCTAAGTAAATAAACGATCTCTCTAAAACTTTAATCGTACTCCTTATTGTTATATTTTTATATTCACATTTATCTAATTAATGTGCTGAAGTAGATACTAACTAAGAACTAAATACCACCAAGAAACAGCACACTAGTTAATTCTACTAAAAAAACCCTCCTACAGAAGAACCATAATAAAACTTGAAGTTAGATAATAATTAAAAAGTAGTAAAATCAAACAAAGCATAATATCGATGGACGGTGATGGACGACGTAAGCGCGATGTGCATAACTAGTTAACGCTCCATGCGTCGCCTGCTGTAATGATTGCACGGAACTAGGTGC